ACAGTTTGCACAAGTCTAAAGGTGAGTAAATTGTTGAAATTTCTTATCGTATAGGCGAGCGCGTATTGCCGTACACGCGCCCAATGTCTCCTGCGCGCCTTGTCGAATTTAATTTTTTTATATACTGTACATTTTGTACCGAAGATCGTAGAGAGATGGTTATTGGAAGAAACTCATTACCTCTTCATCGGGAAATACTCTTTTTAATGATTTAATGGTAAACTTTTTTACCTAGCAAGTTGTGGCAGTAGTAATTTTGGTGTCTAAAAGTGCTCGTAACTTTCTTAGCTCTCATTGTCTCGTTTGGTAACCAAGTTAAATCAATTCGCTGCGCACCAAAAAACATCGAAATAACACACAAACTATATAAAATAGAAACTCTGAAAAAAACGGTCAAAGATAGACACGTAGCAGTGATAGTGAAATCGATTATACTTATAAACGAAGAAAATATTTTTCTCTTGTGGGAATGTGGTATTGATACTAGAGAGTAACCTAGTGGTAATTGTTATGAATCACGATATATCCTTCCTCAGATATTTGACTTATCGATAATATCATAAAAACGGATAATTCAATAAGTATCATGGGGAAATGAATGAAAAAAGAAACTCTTTGTTTTTTCATCGAGAATCTCTTTTGATGAATATTATTGTAAACTTGGATTCGTGGAAATTTGTGATTACTTGAAGCATTAACTGATGATAAAAAGATTCAAGGCACCAAAAATTCTTCTGTATTTTGAATACACATATATGTGACTAGCACAGCTTGGGTCAGATCTATTTCTCCTAATATCATGGTTCTTCGTTGAAGAGTTCTGCAGTGGTACAGAGAGCGCAGAGAAGGAGTCACTCTCGTCGACTTGGGGGGATATGTATGCACGTCATATATAGTTTTTCGAGTCCTATCCTCGAGATCTCTCTCACTGCGAGGAGATATATATAAGGGTTTATTCGACCGAGTTTCGCTGCTGGCTCCGCTGCTCGCGCGTCTCGAGATGAATTATTCATGGCGTATCAATTAAAGGTCGCATATAGATATGCCGGAGCCTCGGCGCGTTAAGTGCCCGAATGAAAAAGCGCATGCCGTATATAGCCGACTTGTGTATATATATAATACGCCGACTGCACTATGACACTTTTGTTGGACCGTTGAGTCGTAAATTTCAGCTCTTATATCCTCCGCCACGCAGAGCAGTAGCAGCAGATACACTCACACCCACGTAGTTATATACACTATATATATATAAAAATGTGCACTATGCGCAGAGGTATAACAAAAAAAAAAGAAGAAGGCACAGATATACATTCGTAGTAAGCGAGGGGGTGAGCTTTATAAAAATGTGCTATTACGCACATTCTCGTTGTGCGGGGGAGGCAGGGGGGGGGGGGGGGGANGGGGGGGGGGGGGGGGGGGGGGGAGGAATATATAAACTCACGGTAGTTTGCAGACAGAGCTGCATACACATACACAGCCGTACTATCCTAGATATAGCTATACCTATACGCTGCACACGCGGAGTCGCGCGCGCGCGCGTCGAGCGATTTGCAATTGAAAGAAGCTGCTTTTCGAGCGCTCGGTGAGCGTATATAATAGCTGCAGCTAGCTTTCTCTCTCTCTTTCTACCGCACACACATACATACACACATATATATGAGCGTGCTTGAGGGAAAACGGCATGCCCCGCACGTGCTACTGCTATACTGCTGCTGCACAGCATGAGCGGCATATACGCGTATAGTCCGCCGCCGCCACCCGTTGCTACGTTCCAATTTTAGTCGAATAAGGAATAAGGCTCCTGACTGACTCTCACTGTGTTGTGTATGTATGTGGGTGTGTGTGTGTGTGTCTGTTACGGGTTGTATGTATGATGTAGCATCGCAAGCTCACGTGCAAGCACACAGACACACATATACACACATACACGTATAGTAACTACTGCGGAGAGCGAAGCTAGTTCCGCGCGTTTCGTCGCGCACATACACACGTAGATATATTTACGTGCGCCCGACTCTCTCTTTCTCTCTCTCTCTGACTGAGCACTGCGCGCGAATATGTAAATATGCATGTATATACGGTACGTAGGAAACTGGAAAATAGCGTATAGATGTCTGCTACATGCAGATACACACTCACACGCACATACACACGTGTGCACCTCCTACAACACAACCCCATACACGTATACAGAGAGAGAGAGAGTCGCCCCGGAAGAGTAATTTGCATTTTCACCAGTGCGCGCACGGGATTTAAACGCGACGAGCAGCAACAGCACAGCACTCGGATTAGCTTCTCGTGCTATTATATACACTCATATACAGCGAGTATACTCCGCTGTATATATAACGCGGACAGATTCTAGCGATTCTACGTCAGTGATTTTTGAGCTAGATCGGCGCGCGCGAGAGGAGTCCTTTATTTCTTCAATCTCTTCTCTCTCTCTCTCTCTCTCTCTCTCTCTCTCGCGCACTATCCGCGTTGTGTTGCTTTTATATACGTAAAAGCTGCTGATGCTGCAGCAGCAACGGACCTCTGGAATTTCCTAGCTGTATAGCAGCTTTTGCGCGCACTCACTTCTCGGGGAGTATGAAAATCTCTTCTCTCTCGGCGGCGAGAGAAGGAAGAAGAGGGAAAAACTTTTTGTGCGCGCAGTTGCTCGTGCTCCTCCGCGTTGTACATTTTTTGCACGAGTTATTTCGCTCGCTCGCTCGCTCGCGCGTTCCTGCAGCGAGTTTCGATTTATATACAGTATGTATAAACCTTTTTTGTCTTCGGCTTTATCGAATGAATACGAAATTCGTTGTATACGCGGGGCGCGTTAAAAAAAAAAAAAAAAGAGAGCACGAGCTAGGGTGAGAGAGATTAATCTGTCGATTTTCAATGCGTTACAGTGACGAATGTACTCGCGCGAGTTTTCGAGTCGAGTAGTGCGCGCTGTACGGAAATTTTTGGTAGTGACGTCACGTCCGATCAAAATTAGATATTACTACTTGAGACGCGTGTCATTTTTTTACCAGCTCCCGCGCAGTATTATGTGCTCGAGCGAACTGTGTGTAACGCCAAAAAAAGAGAATATGCGAGTGGATTACAACGAGCTGGAAGAGCTCTGGGATTCTTTTTTGCGACCTCGTATATTTGGTCTTCAAATTTTGCTCAGTTTCAAGCGGCACACGGGGCACGACTGCGCGACTAGGACGACGATCGTATAATGCATATTACATGCCCCAGCGGCGGCTGCTGCTACTGCTACTGCTGCTGCAGTGCAAAAAAGGGAACAGAAGCCGAGCAATTTAACATAGATTCGTCGGTTTTGAAAAAGTAAAAAAAAAACGGCGGCGTGGTTAAAAAAAAAGGGATTGAAAAAGGAGTAGTGTGTAAGGACCGTTACACGCCAGCGATAGCGCGGCTCTGTGTACCGCAGACTCGCAGAGGGCACGCGGGTATATATTATATATTATCTAAGAAGAAGAACGAGCGCCGGCAAGTAGACGAAAGAAAGAGAGAGAGAGAGCGAGGAAAGAAGGATGTTGAATTTATAATCCGAAAAAGGCAAGGGAAAAAAAGGGAAAGCTGATAATCTTTTTTCCTCCTCCCTTGCGCGCACTCCTTTTTATTAGTGCCACTCGCTGCTCCGTTATCTCTTTCACTCCCTTTCTTGCTGTCCCTTTTCCTCGCTCTCTCTCTCTCTCTCTCTCGCTCTGTCTCTTTCTTTCTCTCGGATCATCCCCGCCTTAAGTCTAATAAGTATTTCATGAGAGCCGCACATGGATTTCTATATATGAACTTGTCGACCTATCTTACTGTCTTCTCGTCGCCGGGAGCAGTAACTCCATTTTGGCTCTCGTGTGTGCACTTCCGATATAGATAAAATATTCTCTCTCTCTCTCTCTCTCTCTCTCTCTTTCTAGCAGCTGCATAATGGATTTCCAAACGCGAAACTTGTACATCTTATTACATTGGAGTACGGTGCGCCAAATACAAAGCAGCGTCTTTACATTGTAAGTTCTTATTTTTAGCATCGCGAGGTGTACAAACACACGTTTGAATTCTTCTACAGGTGATAAAACTTCGTCGAAGGTGTCGGCATGTTGCAATAGGCTCGAGATCCCGAGACATTTATCCTACTTTTCTCCAACGTCGCCCGATCCCGTGTATACCACTAATGATTCGCGCGTGTCTGGCTGTGGTACATTTTTACAGAGTGCAGCACACAGAAGCAACCGCTGCTAATATACTGGCTTCTCCCTGAAGATGTGATATTTTCCATTTTTATGTACAAATGCTAGTAAAATGCTGGTTACATGTAAAATGGTTTGTTTTTTTTTCATGTTATAACATCATAATGGAAGAACAAATATTTCTTCACTGAGATCTTGATATCCTTGAAAAAAATGAATGTTTTGAAAAAAAAAATTACCTGCTCTTAATTGTAATCGTCACATTATTAAAATACGTTACACCCCCCAGAGCCTGAAATTGAAACCCAACTAGCTAGTAGTGTCCTCCTTCGGCTACGCGCAGTTTTTTTTGCTACTTTTTTAGACTTTTTATCGACATTTTTTTTATGTTTTCCAATACTCTTAAATTTTTGTCACCGTTAAACTTGAATGTACGTTACAGGAATTAAGATATGATATTAGTTGCCACTGTAAGGAGGGTTTGTGCATTTTTTTGACATGAAAGTCCAGATTGAACTTGATCAAATCATAAATTTTAATGTTTCACCACTTCGTCGAAACTATTTTCACTTGAATCAAATCCTAAATTTTGTAAACTCATCAATGCGACTGCCGTAAATATAATTATTATTACCTGCAGCTCAAATGACTCATTTAATTTCGCGTAAACGAATTATGCGCCTGAATGAATGACATTTTCATAACAATTTCGGTGTATATAATTACTATCTATGAACAGCCGACGGTAGAGGGGGAAGACATCGCCAAGGAGCCATCATCATCACGGAGTCTTTGGCAAAAGCTAAATTCCGGCAGTAAGCTAGTGTTTACAAATAATATCTGTGAAAGCGAATATATGGTATAGTGTTGGCTATTCGAGGCGTATAACCTCGAATATTTTCTCAACAAAATTTGTGAAAATTCACAGTGATTTCATATAAAACAAGTGATGGAAAGTAAAGAGGGCATAATTAGGTATTACATTTTTGTCCCTATTTTTTGAAGCGATCGTTTCATCAAATTTTATTATTCCTTAGGGTAAAACAAGAACCTAACGTTACTTGGACGGAAGCCGACGATGATTTTAATTTTTATTCGAGGAACTCTTGTAAAGTCAAAACCTTTAAAACATTTGAATCATCGGTGAGTTTAATGATTTTAATTACATTTTGTCTTTACAATATCCAAAACTATTCCAGAATTTTAATTATAGGCAAATCACACGAGAGAGGTTAAGGAATTACAAGAAAAGTTGGACCAAAAAATATTCGTAGAATTTGAATGCAAAGATGTTAAATCTGAACCGAAATCTTTTTCGAAAAAAATCTGCAAAATTGAAGATCCAAGTAATCCACCAGTTGTGAAAATAGAAAACAAAAACCAAACAAATTATTTGAATGAAATATTCATTGATTTCGAGTGCAAAGATGTTAAGCCTGAATCGAAGTCTTTATTAACAACCAACTGCAAAACTGAGTATCAAAGTTATTCAACAATTGTGAAAATCGAAAACCAACTGCAGACCAATTATTTGAACGATAAAAATCCGTTGGCAAAACAAGAATTCAATCATGATGATAGTTGCGATATACCACTCAATTTTAGATTAAAATGTAGTAAATCTAGGATGAGAAAATCATTTAAAAAGACATCTCATACCAAATTATCTTATGAGTGTAAAATGTGTCGAAAAACTTTCAAACTCAAAGGGAATCTAAAAAGACATATTAACACGGCACACAAGAGCATCAGACCATATAAATGTGAAATTTGTCGTAAATCATTTATATTCCAAAGTCAGCTAAAACTTCATGTTAACGCAGCACATATCAAACCCTTTAAGTGTGAGATATGTAATGAGGCATTTAGAGACCAGTTTAACCTCAAAAGGCACATTATGTCGGTACATAAACAGGAGCAACCCTTCGAATGTGACATTTGTCAAAAATCATTTAGACGAAAAAGTCATCTCAAAGACCATATAATGGTAGTACATAACCGTATTAAAGCCTTCGAATGTGAAATTTGTCAAAAATCTTTTGGATACAGATATGCCCTCAAATTTCACATAAATGGAATACATGAACGTAGCAAACCCTTCGAATGTGACATTTGTCAAAAATCATTTGGATACCCGAGTGATCTCAAGAAACACATAAATGGAGTACATAAACGTATCAAACCTTTCGAATGCGAAATTTGTCACAAATCATTTGGACAAAAGGAAAACCTTAAAAGACACATAAGTGTAGTACATGATCGTAGTAAACCCTTTGAGTGTGGAATTTGTCATAAATCATTTGGATACCAGCATAATCTCAATAAGCACATAAACACAGTACATGATCGTAGTAAATCCTACGAGTGTGAGGTTTGTCACAAATCGTTTGGACAAAAAAGTACCCTCAAAGTTCATATCAATGTAGTACATAATCATAGTAAACCTTTCGAGTGTGAGGTTTGTCACAAATCATTTGCATACCAGTATATATTAAAAGGTCACATAAATACAGTACATAATCGCAAAAAACCCTTCGCATGTGACACTTGTCAAAAATCATTTGAACGAAAAAGTTACGTCTCAGCTCACATAAGTACAGTTCATGATTGTAGTAAACCCTTTGAGTGTGAGATTTGTCACAAATCGTTTGGATACCCGAGTAATCTCAAGAGACACATAAACATAGTACATGATCGTAGTAAATCCTACGAATGTAATATTTGTCACAAATCATTTGGACAAAAAAGTACCCTCAAAGTTCATATCAATGCAATACATAATCGTAGCAAACCTTTCGGGTGTGAGGTTTGTCACAAATCATTTGCATACCAGCATATATTAAAAGGTCACATAAATACAGTACATAATCGTAACTAATCCTTAGAGTGTGAGATTTGTGACAAATCATTTCGATACATGAGTAACCTCAAAACTCACCTAAGTACAATTCATGATTGTAGTAAGCCCTACGAGTGTGAGATTAGTCAGAAATCATTTGGACAAAAAGGTACCCTCAAAATTCACATTGATGCAGTACATAATCGTACCCTTTGAATGTGAGATTTGTCAAAAATCATTGAGATATCAGCAAAGCATAAGTAATCACATGAACTCAGTACGCACTGAAATCAAGCTTTTCAAATGTAAATTTGTTACATATCATTGAGAGATCTCAAAAAACACAATTTTACAGCAAATAAATTAACAAATTTCAGAAATGTGAGATGTGTACCGAGACATTTGTTCGAAATAAAGAATTTTTATAGAGAACGCCACGTAATTTATACAACCTTCAATATAAATATCTTTTAATTTCTTGATGAATAATAAATTATTTTCAACTGTAATACATTTTGTTACCTATGCTATTAGAAAATCTTTGTCTTGAAACGAGAATTAATTCTAAGGTCTGCATGCTAACCTTTTCAACTAGCTCCCATACACGCTAAAAATGTAATAGTAGATAAAAAACTCTGCAGGGAGTGACAATTCAATTTTATAAGATTTTATTTCATTATTCTTGAGAAAAAATGTTGAGATATGCAAGCAACTGCATTTATGAAAGTTTTGAAAGAATCATTCCTATTGATATGAGAGCAAAGATCTTCGTTTGTTTCACTAAATACGTTTTCGTTGCGTTTGAAGTATTAGTTGATAGTCTTTAATGGGCAACGAATGTATGTACAACAGTTATTTTCATCTTGCATATCGGGAGAATCAATTCGTGTAAACGGAAGTTTGTTCTGTTGGGTTTCAACTAAAGATGCATTGGGGCTGTTTGAATGATGATAAAGCAACCATTCTAGTTTCGATGGGTTAATTTCTGGAATTAATTCGTGAAATTTTATACGACAATTCAAGGATACGAACGTGGATACATTTATTTCTAATTCCAGTATTAATTATTGAACATTTTATATGACATTAAAAAAGATGCGATCAAGCTTATTTTTAATCTTTACGCTACTATTTAATTTTTGAGCTATTTTGAAATTTTGAATATGACGAATGGAAAGCCGAGGAAGTTTCTTCTCTTCGAAATACACATCATAATAGTTCATATGATTTGGCCCATGTATTACAGACACGCGAACGATTGTGTATGTGTGCTCACACGCGCGCGCGCGCGCGAATCGATTGGCAATTTTGCAACGTTAGTACATACACGCACACAGACACACAGAGTCAGTTCAAGACGTGCAGTAACAGCAGCAGCAGCAGCCTCCCGAGGAACAAACTTTTCTCTCTCTCTCTCTCTCTCTCTCTCACTGACTCGCTCAGCAGTAGTACGTAGCTAATATATATACCGACGGACCGAGGTTCGAAGTTGCAAGTGTACGCGAAGCTCAGCAGTGGCGAATGTATATACCTATATTTGCCAGATATATCTGAAACTATCGGGGATGCAGTACATGGCAGGTATATAACGTCGATACAGCTACGCGAGAGCTACGTGACGGACTCCCTTTTTTTTTCTTCTTTTATTTGTATTTATCCTTCCGCGTGTGTGTATGTGCATACGTTGGTGTACAAATTCATCGTATGTATCCTTATAGAGCGAGTCGGAGACTATGTATGTACATGAACCGCGAGCCGCAGTCAATCCAAAAAGCTCGAATTTCGATGAGAAAGCGCAGCGCAGCGTACGAGAGACAGAGAAACGTACTTTCAAGGGAAAAGAAAAAGAAGTCGGCATTATACAGAGAGAGGAGGAGGAGAAGGAGGGTAGGGGGGCTTTAAGAGGAAGCAGTATAGGATGAGGAACTGAAGAAAATCAATGATAAGGAGACCCAAAGAAAGAGAAAGAGAAAATGTGAAAGAGGTAAGAGAGATAGAGAGACGACGCGAAACACAGAGAAAGAGAGAGCCCCGAGCCGAGCGCGCGGTTTTCTCAAACGTCCGTATATACTTGAGAATTCGATTCACGCTCTCGACTCCCCCGCAGAGTATATCTCACACACGTACACAGACACAGAGAGCTCATAGAGCTCGCGTAGCATTCATTATATATATTTGTGTGTATGTGCGCTGCATACACCTATATATGTACGCTCTACCTTTTCTCAAACGATGCGACGCGACCTTTTCCTTCTTCTTCCTTCTTCTTTCCTTCTTTCTTTCTTCCTTTTTTTTCTTTACTGCCACCCCCCTCCTTTAACTATTTTATATACTTTCAATTTTAACTTTCCGCTTCGTTTATTTTGAGCTTTTGACTTTTAGCGCATTTGGGGCAATTTCTTAAGGCGATCTTTCTTTTTTTTTCTTTAATAAAAATAATATTCAAATGATAACTACGTGATCGGCCTAGAAACATTTTACTTCATAATTATACATTTGACCGTTAGTTTTTTTCAATTTCCAAGTTAAATTCCAGCGTGATATTTCTTTTCGTGTTCAAACGAATGCCGAGTAAATATTTTTTCTCGGATGTCAAAAGTTCGTACGTTAATCGCAACTATAGTTTAATTTTTATCATACGATAAAGGTAAATACTATGGAAACATGGAGGAGTTAAATTTTCAAAAATTCAAGAATTAAAATTGTATTTAAATTATTTATTTGTATATAAAAATAATTATAAGGCATTAAAGACTAATTTTAACGTACAGTGCGACTGCATCGATGACTGTAATTGTAAAACGTACAATAAAAGTTTTTTTCAATGTTCATTTCATTCGATAACGAGGAAAAGTATCGAACTATTTTCAAAAGTCTACGGAGTGCCGTCTGTCAATAAGACGAGAAAAATAGAATAAGCATAAGGTAATGTAAAAAATTAAATAATTCTAAGTAATATAAAATATCAATTGTGTGTGTTATGTACATCTTATCGATTCTCCGTTATACGTAATAATAATAATAATAAAAGTAATTGCTTGGACGACAACCTGGTCGGATCGCATCGTCCAGCTTATAAAATTGAAAAAAAAAAAAAATCTATCTCCGGGCCAGGCTCAAGCTCTCGGAAGATTGGTCGCCAGCACCCTGAAGCCGTCCTTGTCGGCGACGTAGCGCACCTGCTGCAGCAGGCCGTTGGCGTCGATGTAGCTGTAGGCGCCGCGGGTCGAGCCGTCCATCGAGCGCGACTCGATCTTGGCGCTGGTGTCGCCCGTGTAGCTGTACTCGTACTGGCCCAGGGCGTCCTGCGTGTGGCTCGCCGCACCGTGGATCACCGGCATCGGTAGCGGCACGTAGGCAGGCATCTCCGAGGCAGCGGCCGACGACAGAACGTAGCGGTGGCCGTGGTGAAACATGTGCGACGGCGCCATCGCCACCACGTGCGTGGGCGAGCTGTAAAAGTAATGCTGCTGCTGATGCTGCTGCTGCTGCTGCTGCTGCTGTTGATGATGATGGTATTGCTGTTGGCTGGGGCTGCTTATACGCCGAGCTTCGGGCCTGCTGACGCTCGTCGGGGGCCTAGCGACGAAGGCAGCGGCCGAGGCACTTCGACGCCGACCGAACGTCTGTTTCTGCGGTGACTGCTCGTAGGCTCGTCTACTGGGCTGTTGCTCGAGCTCGTAAGCGGCTTTCCAGGCGGAACCGGCTCGGCGAGTCTCGGCGTAATGCAGCTGCTCCATGTGTCGGCGCTTGGTCAGCGCGACCTCGGGCGCGTCGCGCAACGCCGGCTGATGCTGCTGCCGTTGCTCCAGCAGCTGAGACGAGGGCAGATTGCTCGCCCTGACCCGAAAGCCGTTCTCCGCGTCGGCCGTGTACGAGACCGTCTGCAGCAGGCCGTTGGCATCCACGTAAGAGTAGCCTGTGCAGAAAGAGACATGATTATGCGTTATGTAAAATTTCGTGATAAGGGATTGCGGAATGCTCTTTTGAATATGCGGGTTCCTGTGATAATTTTATACTTTTTCCGTGCTACAATTTGGTATTTTTATCGGTATAAAACAAGAGGCTGCAGCACGAGCCTTCGACTGGCCCGACTCTTGTTAAAAAAACATGTTTAGGGCTGTGTTAGATCTTTCACTTCCATTGTCAAAAATAGGAGTTGGTATTTTAATTTCCATTATTAAAATTAAGAGAATATGCGGGGCCTGATCAGCTAGTCGGGCCTGACCCAATTGGATTGGACACAGTCTCAGCTATTTCACATCGCTTAACACAAAGCTCAAATAGCTTAATACCAAGCTCAAGAAGATCGATCCCTATAGCTTAAGTAGATCGATACCCTATGAAGTTCAATGACTCTCTCAGAACTATGCACGAGGTCAATCTTTTTTTTGATAAATTTTTTCAACCCCTGAGGGTGAGCAGGTGGAGGTGACTTGAGTGACCTAGGTAAGCATGATTAAGACAAACGTTACATCGTTTATTGGTTTTAATACAAATAGCGAAACATAAATTTTATAAAATCATCAATGCGACAGCCGTAAATATTTTGATATTAACTGCAGCTAGAATGACTTATTGAATTTCATTCTTTATATCGCGTGCGCAACGAATCCCTTTATTTACTGCACAGGTGTGGATTCAGAGATATATTTCTCTTTTGTGTGGATGTTTCTCCTCATATATCTTACGACGCGCAAACGAATTATGCGCCTGAATGAATGACATTTTCATTACAATTTCGGTGTATATATTTACTATCTACGGGCAACCGACCGTAGAGGGGGAAGACATCGCCAAGGAGTTATCACAACCACGGGGTCTCCACGCGAATAAACCAGTAGTGAGTTTAGTCGCTGGCAAAGAGCTAAATTCCTGCACTAAGAAGTGTTTACAAATAATATCTTCTTAAAAGTGTATATGAGATATAATGTTGGCTACTCGAGGCTTATAACCTCGAATATTTTCTCAGTGCTAATCTTGAAAATTCACAGTGATTTTATACAATAAAAACTAGTGATGGAAAGTAAAGAGGATATAGTTAGGTATAACATTTTTTATTTATTCCCTTCGTATTTTTTGGATCGATCGCTTTATCAAACTTCATTATTCCTCAGAGTAAAACAAGAGCCAGAAAACTCTTGGACAAATGCGGACGACGATTATAATTTCGACTTGGTAGACTCTTGCAAAGTTGAAAAATTTGAAACTTATACAGTGAGTTCAATGATTTGAATCATTTCCCATTTTTCAACTATCAAAAACTATTACATGATTTTAATTTTAGGCCAGTCACGCGTATCAGGATATGAAGATATAGGCGAGCGGGAGGTTACCCAAAAAACAGGGTTGACCGACCACGGAGAGGGGAGTGGGTAAACGACATGATTCCTTACGTATTTTTCGTCGCTGAATCCGAATATGAAATTTATTTTACTCTAAAATGACAGCGTCATGGAGAAAAACGCGATTTTCATGAAAATCGCGGTATAATGAATTTCTCATTTTTTCGAGTTCAACTCGCTGTAACTTTTTTTGTAGTAAATATTTTTTGATGAAATTTTAACAGCATATTCTAGCACTCAAAAGGAAGAAAATAGCGTCAAGCAGGTGTCGAAAAGTTTATTAGAACCGAAGATATGATTTTTTGAACATAAAAAACGCGAATTCATGAATTCTTAACTTCGGATTAAAAAGTTGAGTGACGAAATTTCGAAATTCAAAATATAAACTTCACAGCACTAAAATATATAGTATAAGGAAGTTTTTGGTAAAATTTGAGATCAAAATATCAATTAGGGAAGAAATGGCAAGAGTTTCAATATTAGCGCACCGAGCGCGCGCTCGCCGCGCGTGCAGCGCAGCAGCCGCCTCGCCGGCTAGCGTTGCGCGTTGGCCCGTGTAATGGTGCATACAGTTTAATAATTAATATATGAAATCCATTTAATTGTTTTTATTGAACATATGGTCAAATCTCAAAATAAAATTCCGTTTCGTTAACAAAAAAAGGTGAAATTTTTTTTTGCGTGCCCAGTGGCCCGGACCCCCGCAAATTCTTCATAGGACCTCCAGGAGTGAAAAAAAACGCGTGAACATGAAATTTGTAAATAGTTAGTTTTTTTTGGGTCACTTTTGTGTTTTAGATGCCGAAAAGCCATCTTTTCACGCAAATACGACTTATTGCTCGATTTCCAAGTCGTTGAAAAAGTATAAAAAATCATCTAAAAATTTTAACTGACCACTGTATTCGATAGGAAATTTCCTCAGCTTTCTCATGGTGCAGTTGGATTTTCCGATTAATTTCATTTTCCCAAGGAAAAATCAAAAATAAGCCATAGAAAGCACTTTTTCCGTACTACATTTTTCGACATATTTAGCCCTCAATGTTTGATGGCGATTTTCGTGGTGAAATTTGGATATTTCGGAAAATCAAATAGTACCATCGGAAAGCTGAGGAAATTTCCTATCGAATACAGTGGTCAGTTAAAATTTTTAGATGATTTTTTATACTTTTTCAACGACTTGGAAATCGAGCAATAAGTCGTATTTGCGTGAAAAGATGGCTTTTCGGCATCTAAAACACAAAAGTGACCCAAAAAAAACTAACTATTTACAAATTTCATGTTCACGCGTTTTTTTTCACTCCTGGAGGTCCTATGAAGAATTTGCGGGGGTCCGGGCCACTGGGCACGCAAAAAAAAATTTCACCTTTTTTTGTTAACGAAACGGAATTTTATTTTGAGATTTGACCATATGTTCAATAAAAACAATTAAATGGATTTCATATATTAATTATTAAACTGTATGCACCATTACACGGGCCAACGCGCAACGCTAGCCGGCGAGGCGGCTGCTGCGCTGCACGCGCGGCGAGCGCGCGCTCGGTGCGCTAATATTGAAACTCTTGCCATTTCTTCCCTAATTGATATTTTGATCTCAAATTTTACCAAAAACTTCCTTATACTATATATTTTAGTGCTGTGAAGTTTATATTTTGAATTTCGAAATTTCGTCACTCAACTTTTTAATCCGAAGTTAAGAATTCATGAATTCGCGTTTTTTATGTTCAAAAAATCATATCTTCGGTTCTAATAAACTTTTCGACACCTGCTTGACGCTATTTTCTTCCTTTTGAGTGCTAGAATATGCTGTTAAAATTTCATCAAAAAATATTTACTACAAAAAAAGTTACAGCGAGTTGAACTCGAAAAAATGAGAAATTCATTATACCGCGATTTTCATGAAAATCGCGTTTTTCTCCATGACGCTGTCATTTTAGAGTAAAATAAATTTCATATTCGGATTCAGCGACGAAAAATACGTAAGGAATCATGTCGTTTACCCACTCCCCTCTCCGTGGTCGGTATGTCCCCTTTCTAAGCGACTTTTTGGCAACCTCCCGCTCGCCTAATACAGGAAAATACAAATGAAAAAATAATCGTAGATTTTGAGTGCAAAAATGTTCAAGCGGTACCAACATCTCTGTTGACAAAAATCTGCAAATCTGAGGATCTAAATTTACAAACTATCGTAAAAGTAGAAAAACAACAACAAACAAATTATTTGAATGAAAATATATTCATTGATTTCGAGTGCAAAGATGTTAAACTTGAATTGAAGCCGTTATCATCAACCACTTGCAAAAGTGAACATCAAAGTTATCCACCAATTGTAAAAATAGAAAATCAAATTCAGACAAATTACTTAAACGGTAAAGATCTCATGATTACAAACAAAGAATTCGATTATGATCGTAACTGTCAAATCCAAGAAAATTCCCCAATAAAGCTTGATGAATTCAGGCCAGTGAAAATGTACAAAAAAACAACTCAAACCATGTCTCATAAGCCAAATTTTTATCAAAAAACGTATGACACTAAGGTGAGTCTAAAAGAACATATTATTACGACAAACAACAGCAGACAATATGAATGTGACATTTGTCAAATATTATTTGAACGAAAAAGTCACGTCACAGCTCACACAAGTGCAATACATGAACGTATAAAATCTTTTGAATGTAAGATGTGTCATAAATCATTTGGATACCAGCATAATCTCAATAAGCACATAAACGCAGTACACGATCGTAGTAAATCCTACGAGTGTAGTATTTGTCACAAATCATTTGGTCAAAAAAGTGACCTCAAAATTCATATACAGTCAGTACATGATCGCAAAAAACCCTTCGCTTGTGACACTTGTCAAAAATCATTTGGACAAAAAGGTAACCTTAATGTTCATATAAATGCAGTACATCTTCGTAGCAAAATCTTCGAGTGTGATATTGGCCACAAATCATGTGGACGTAAAGGTGACCTTAAATCTCACATAAATTCAGTACATGAACGTAAAAAACCGTTTGAATGTGACATTTGTCACAAATCATTTGGACAAAAAGGTACCCTAAACATCCACATAAATGTAGTACATGGTCGAAGCCAACCGTACAAGCTTATAATTTCTTCCGAGGCATGTGTATAAAACAAAGTCTCGTTATAGAGTACGTCACGTAATTTAGACAATCTTTCATATAAGTATCTTTCAAATTCTTATTGAATAATAAATCATTTCCAAATATTATTAATTTTTTTATTAGAAAAAACCTATGTGAATTTTTCACGTGAAAGACCAATATTTTTCATGTTCTTACTTCCTAAGGGTGTGCCATTAAGAAATCATTGGTTTGAAACAAGAATTAATCTTACGTTTTGCCTGCTAATCTCTTCAACTGACTCCTACTCTACACGCAGGAAATGAGTAGTTGATTAAAAAAACTTTGCAAGTAATGACTATTTAGCTCATCCGATGCAAATTATTCTAATGATCAAATGCATTATTTCAAGTCATCGTTTCAAGTTTTATATTTCGTTCAATTTTATTAATGTTTTATTAATGTTTTCGGGACCTTCACTTTTTGAATTTGGAATTTTTCTAAAATACATGGTTATTGCTAATATTCAACAATTTACAAGTGAAGAGTTTCCTGTGGTAACAGTGGTAATATTTTAAACGATATTTAAAACGATTCTCAAAGTTGTGAAATGAAAATTTTTGAATTATTCTGAATTTCAAACATTTCATGTAAATATGGATTCAAGAATGAAAAATATCATTTTCGCAGAAAAATATTAATCGTAAGTAATCTCGGAGTCACTATCTAATAAAATAATACATAAAAATATTATAAAAAGTGTCGAAAAAATCGATATAAAAATGTCTATAGTTACGTGTACATGGTCTAAAAAGAAGCTCTTGTTTTAGAAGCACGTTTAAAGATTTTTACAGAAAGAGGTAGATATATAAATGACTATATTTCTATTACTTTTACTCGTATTACAAAAAATTTTAACAGACTAGGATAATCATTTATAGAAGATTGATTATGATTATGATTATTTTTAATGATTTCTTTTTTTGCACTTGTTGCAACTGTTTTGCTAACTCAAGATACTATACAATATTTAAAAATACGGATATCATCATTAAATATCATTACCCTTATCTTTGAAGTATTACTGAAAACTAATTGAAAGTATAGAAAATCTCATAAGACAAACAAAATTGAATGAATGTTCGAAAAATATTACAACCTCTCCCACAACAAGTACTATACCATTCGCGTTGTAAATAAATTTTTTTGCCAATATTTAAAGCAATTATATTTTACGTATTACGCGCGCCTCGAGTATAAAGCTCATTGACGTTAATAACGAGTAATTTGGCACGCAAGAGAGAGAAAGAGAGATACAGAGTTTGTATAGAGGTACTTTTCAACGCATTATGAAAAGAGCAAAATGCAAACGGACTCCCACGGCTGTAATTAATAGGCGGGTGTTGAACATCGTTATTTATAATTAATTGATAAATGCCGAGTGTACTTCAATTATTGTAAACTCATCCGTTAGTACATTTACGATACCGCCCGCGCGCACTCTTTACGACTGTGCACTCGCGGGTATAAATCCTTATCAAACATCGTCGACACTGCCACGCGCACAAAAGAGCTTTATAATAAGGATGATAATAATAATAACAATAACAGCTTGGATTTTTTTTTCTCTCGAAACCACTGCGGTCGAATGATAAATTTCACCCAGCCGCGCGTGTACGCGTGCATAAAGGAGGATGAAAAAATTATCATTATATATTGAGAATCGGCACTGACCTCCGCGAGTGATTCCATTGTAGCTCGACTCGGATTTGGCGTGGTGCGGCCCGGAGTAGCCGTACTGATAAGCGCCCGAGACCGGATCCTGGCTGAGGTATTGTGCGCCGCTCGGCAGCGACGACTTGCCGCGTCGCGTCATCGTCGCCGTCTTAATCGGCCAGCCCTCGACGACGGATTTGCCGCTCGACGAAGCAGCAGCAGCAGCAGAAGCGGCACTGGCAGTGATTGCCGCTAACGGGCTTAGCAGGAGCAGCAGCAGCGGCAGCCTGTACTGTTGTTGGTTGCGCAACGCACAGAGAGACAACAAAGTCGAATCAATTTTTTTTTATATCGTTACGAAATTTATCCAGTCTCATTATTGCTCTACATTATCAATGCTTTAATTAGTTTCCTTTGGATATTGTCTAAGTTATGCAACGGATGCGAGGAACTGATTTCTTTTTTCACGTAGTGAAGTAAGTACGTATTTATAAACTGTCACTTTTTCAACGGGATCTTATGAGGTCATCTATAATTATGGAATGAAAAAATAATTCAACGCGCGTATTTCATCGTTTCCAGTGAATAATTAATCGGAAAAGCTTTCGCGAAGCAAGACTGCGGGGGGCGCGAGGACGCGACGACGACAAACCAAAGTTTTATATTTACACTTTTGCAACTTCGAGGCATAATATCTTATTAATAAACTTTTTGAAAACGATGAAAATTAAAAGCCTCTTTCGGCTCGTAAATACGCGTCTCTGCTCTGGCCCGCGCTCGGACATTAATTATTTGCTTCAGGAAGCTCTCGCGAGGCAGGCACGAGTTTTTCTTTTAGACGTCAGTGAAATATACTTCAAATCGCATTACCCCTTTTCAAGAGAGTGATATAAGCAGATCTTCTGTGTCCTGAAATTTTTCCGTACATGGTTCGTTCTCCGGAAATCTGCTTGTTTGAGAATTTAGAAAAACAAAATTGAAACAAGAATTTTCTGAAATTTGTTGATGCTAACTACTTGAGACAATTAAAAACCTTAAAATGTAAACCGTGAATCTGAAATCTACCGATTTAGTTCAAAAAGTAATTTTCATTTTAAGATCCATATTGAAAATGTATTTTTTCGCTTATGAGATAACACTTGCAAAAGTAATACATCCGCACTTCTATTAACTAAATTAAAAAACGAATAAATGAACCGGAATTCGGTGTAACAATAATGAGCGACAAATCAAATAATTGTAGCTAGAGAATTTTACATGTTTTAGTCAGTAACAAATATAGCTGGTTGTAAAAAATTTAATAAACGATATTCCGGAGAATGAACCATGTACTTTATACAGTGTTATCGAATTAGTGATACGGCGTATGTCGCAGACTGAAAAAAATTCTTTAACGCGGAAAAATGTGTGAGTTACGTTTGAAGAAGTTTACTTGTAATTATTATTCTTTATCTGTTTGAGTATAATGAACATTAAAGTGCAAATTTCTGCAAGTTTAAAGGTAATGTAAGAACAAGCTTTCAAATGTTGACTTCAAATTTATACAATTTATACCCACTTCACTCATAATTGAACATTTTGCGAGAAAAAAAACATTTGGCACTGGTTTTAAATTGTGCTTCAATACGAAATCGCCGGCGTTTGAAAATAATTATTATCATTTTACGAAAATCCTGATTTTCGGGTAGAGTAAACCAAACTTATCATTTGTCGAGCGTATCCTGTACCAATAAAATTCACAAACACGCTGATTTTTCAAAAAAAAAAAAGAAAAAAAACTAAAAACTGTCGATTCTCACACCGCAGCACTTTTTCACTCGCACATTTTGCCGCAAACACACATCGTTCGATGGCGAACGAGAAAATTCTCCCAAGTATTAAAAATCGATCGCGCAGACTCACATTGCCCATTTTCTTTTTCGGAGATGTGTCGTTCGTTCGGCGTCGCAGAGATAGAGAGAAAAAGACGAAGGAGAGAGACAAGGAAAAATAAATAGCTCGGACTAGTTAGTTGACTCTTGGATTCGAGCTCGATATACACGTAATTATCCAAAGCCCAAGTACCGACTTGTCTCTCGCTCTCTCTCTTCTCTCTTCCTCGATCGTCTCTTTCCTAGTTCGTCGTCGTTCTCTCTTATATACGTGTGTCTCCGAACCTGCGCTCGAAGAAGTGTAAGGACGTCTCCGGGTAGGACTTATATAGCAGGATGAGCCTTACGGCGTACTCCCCCACTCTTTGAAATAGGGACGAGGATAGGAAAGAGGGCCCGAGTGTGGCGATTCCCATATATACATACGTACGTGCGGAGTCAAAGCCCTGCTGCTGCTGCTGCTGCCGCTGCTGCCGAGACTTGTCTCTGCGTCCGTTCGTCGGTCTCTCTTCTTCTTCTTCTTCTTATGCATATATACTCTCTCTTAAGGCCGCGATCCTTATGGCTACCACCGCGCACACACGTACGACACACAATAATGCCCGCGCGAACTTGAATTACATACGCACCACAACCATTGACCACTCGAGATGACTCTATGATGACGATGATTAAACGTATACTAAAACTGGTGATTTGCGAGCTTGTATAACCTCGCGCGTTAATTCGATGAAAATCAACGGACGAAAATGCGTCCCTTGCACTTTTTGTTAGTCGCGGTGTCTCTCCCTCGCGGAATGCCAGAGATTAAGTAATCGATGCATTCCGCACGTGCTGTAAGACTATTACCGCGTCTCTTACGTGCACGCGCTCGGCGCGGGTGAGCTTTGACACGCGCCGGCATTCCGTCACTACTTTTTTTTTCCATCCTCGCTGTTTGTATTTTTTAAGAACGATTTTTTTTCAGTTCAATGCCCAATTCGGACTATTTTGTAGTAAGATTAACTCTATCGAGCTCGTGGGAAAATTAAGAAAGCACGAAAAATCGGTTTAAAGTTATTGAAGAAAGCGTCTTCGAACATTTTTGGAGGACTTACATCAATGGTAAATATAAATAGTGGTAATTCTTCTTTTCTAAAAAATTTAATAAAAATTAAGTATGATAGTCTGGCCTTTATAGTTTAGGTTTAACTTTGAAATAAGATTAGAATCTAATCTCAAATCTGTTCTTATTAATTACTCAAGTTTCATAAAATGTATTTCATGAAATGTTAAAATTAAAATTTTCATTTTTCATACCATAGCAATCTGGTATTTATAATAAAATAATGCCAAACATAATAATCGGCTTTCATCTTTCTGGGAGTCGTTTTAGAATACTTCATTTTAAAGACTAAAAAAATCTGAGAAGAAATCGACAAATCGTTAGAATTTCGACTAATTTAAAATATATAAGGCCAATTTATAAACAGATAAAGTTGTGACGGATTTGTAAACAATATTATCGTAAATAAACTGGAAGTTGCTTCTTGAACATGCTTTTAGCCTAAGCAGTTAGTATGAATGTCGACTTTAAATGTTACTCATTCAATTTCTGTGACGCTAAATAGAAAGATCGATCGTTTGATTGAAACACCAAAATGGATGAAAGTGTGAAGAGATCCGAAACAGTTATAACACAAGATAACTCAAGTGAACATAATATTGTGGCTTCAAATGGTAAAACAAACTTATGTAATATTTGTCAAAAGACATTTTTAAGAAAATCAAGCTTGATAAGACACCGAAACACAATTCACAATGAACAAAAAGATTACCCATGCAATAAATGTGAGAAGAAGTATAGCGAAAAAAGTAGTTTGATCAAACATCAAAAAATAGTCCACGAAGGTCGTAGAGATTTTCCATGTGACAAATGTGAAAAAAAATTTGGAGAACGAAGCCATTTGACCGAGCACCAAAAGACAGTACACGAAGGTCGAAAAGACTATGCATGTGACAATTGTGGGAGTGAATTTGGACGTAAGTCAGATTTGTCGAATCATCAAAGAACAGTTCACGAAGGTCGTAAAGATTTCGCATGTGGTAAATGTGAGAAAAAGTTTGGACATAAACCGCATTTGCTGATCCATCAAAGGACAGTCCATGAAGGTCGCAAAGATTACGCATGCGACAAATGCCAAAAGAAGTTTAAGCATAAACCGTTTGTGCTTATTCACCAAAGAACAGTCCATGAAGGTCACAAAGATTACGCATGCCCTAATTGCGAGAAGAAATTTGGACGAAAGGCGAACTTGATCAGGCACCAAAATGTAGTACACAAAAGTCGCAAAGATTACGCGTGTGACAAATGCGAGAAGAAATTTGGACACAAATCGCATTTGCTCTCCCATCAAAAGACAGTACACGAAGGTCGTAAAGATTTTGCGTGCGACAGTTGTGGGAAGGAATTTGGACAAAAAAGTAATTTGCTCAGCCACCAAAAGAGAGTCCATGAAGGTCGCAAAGATTACGGATGTGACAGGTGTGAAAAGAAATTTGGATCCAAAGCGTATTTGCTCAAACACCTAAAAATAGTCCACGAAGGTGGCAAAGATTACGCATGCAGTAAGTGTGAGAAGAAATTTGGCTATTCAAGCGGATTGATCAGACACAAAAAAAATGTCCACGAAGGTGGCAAAGATTACGTATGCATCGAGTGTGAGAAGAAATTTGGGCATCAATCAAATTTGATTAGGCACCAAAAAATTGACCACGAAAGTCGCTCGTACGCATGGGACATATGCGAGAAAAAATTCGGACAAAAGTCGGATTTGCTCACTCACCAAAAGATAGAACACGAAAGTCATAACGATGACACACGTAAAGAGTGCAAAAATAAATCTGCTACTCTGTTGAATTCGAGCAGCCTCGAAAAAACAGTCGATGGAATTTCGAGTGGCTACTTACCGGACGTGTGCCACGAATTGTCGTTACAAGCTCCCATGTTGACCCAAAATAGTGAAAAAGATTACGCAAGTGATTATTGTGAGACACAATTTGAGGTTCAAAGCACTTTTATCAGACAGCAAAACTCAGTCTCCGAAGGTCATGAGGGTGATGCACCGAAAAATGAAATTCTCAGTGACTTATACTTTCCGGTCACGTGCAATGAGTGGTACTTAGAAATTCCTAATTTTACCCATCTACCAAAAAATATTTTCGAAGGTGAAGAACTATGAAAGATTAAGTATATATTAGATAGGATAAAGTTTTTCATATAAACGCAAATTTGTAAACAACATCAGATTTTCTTGTGAGGTCAACATTTTTGCATGTAACTATTAACAAATTGGAAATCAATGAACATCGTAAATCTCATTCTTCATAACACTTCATTAATTCTCAAACTTGAAGAAAACGAGATTTCTTAAATGGTCAAAGATAAAAGTAAATTTTAGAATATATTGACACTCGAACTATTTTGAATTAAATAAAATGAAGTTTTATTTAAGTCATCTGTTCATAGTACATTTAATAAACGAGAGAACGATTGTAAAGTAAGACACATCTATCTGATGGAAATTATTTTTTCCAATTGACTTTCAATGATTAAAATCTTCTTGAATAAAAATGAAAATTGCGATCGAACTTTTTGTTATTCATAAAATAGTATGGTATGAAAAGTCATGAGTTTTAGAAGAATTCCTGCGGACGAAAAGTCAAGCGTACGAGCCAAAAAAAGCAGACTAAAACGGAGACGAGGAAAGAGAGCGGAAGAGGAAAGAGTACAACGATTTTACAAAACGTTTAGAGACGCGCGTATAATGGTCTCGGTCACGCGCGTAAAAAAATAAATGAATAAAAGTGTAACGAGGACAATTCAACTATTTGAGTATTTGTAAAACTCTATTTCAAAAAAATTTCCATTCATTTTATGGAAAATCGTACCACTCACCTATCACGTAAAAACGTAAAATTTTGTGTTGTAGTTTGAAATTATGTAACCAAAAAAAGACAATACGTTACGTACAGAAATAAAACCCTTTGAACGAATTTAAAAAGTGACTAATAAATATTTTTCATGAAATAATAGATGACGTCAAAGGTCCCCCCCGTGAAACCTTTTAAAGAAATATTCATTCCAAATCTCATTAACACGAAGTTGAATTATTTTGTTTTCTGCTGCACGCAGCTTTGGCTTCGTCCTCTCGCGCGAATCTGCATCCATTATAAAAATTACTAGAAGCTTACACAGAAAATAACGAATTCAAAGTCAAAATGGTGTCGTACAAAAAAATATCATACAATTGTTTATGTTAAAAAATCGAAAAAGCACTCGTCACATTACGAGGCGCCACTTTTGTACGGTATTATATTTAAATATATAAAAAAAGCTCGCCCGAGCAGTGTACAGTCTCATCGTCGAAACGCGCAATTTTTCATCAATTCAATGCCCGACAATAACTATCGTCGATTATTATTTTATGAAAAACAATTTGCGCTTTTGAATAATTCTACATTATAATCGTTCGACAATGGGGAAAAGAAAAATAATTTTTTTTCTCGATACAATTCTCGTCGCTGCTGCTGCTTGGTCCCCCCATTCGCTATCGTGAAAAGCGAAATGTTTAACGATGCCACTGCCTCTAGGTATAGTGGATTTATAACGATGTCTCTTTTTATCCGCTCTCATTTATATTTTCATAAATCGGAGTTTTTATACAAAAAAAAAAAAGAAGAAGAAGGAGAAAGAGAGGAAACTTTATGTTCGCTGCCGTATATATTCGCGCGCGCGGTGCAGTGAGAAATTCCACCGAGTCTCTCTCTCTCTCTCTCTTTCTCTCTCGAGTCACGGATGTCAACTAAAAGCCCATTATAGAAAATGTGTGTGTGTATGTGTGTGCGCTGCACTATAGCAGTATATATAGCCGCGGAGCGTAGATGCAGCTTAGACATATTTGATACAAAGGTAAAGTGTATGTGTATACATGCTCTATACATACAGTTTATGTGTGAGTGTGTTTGTACACACATATATAGAGGAGTTTGCAGCCTCATCTTTGCACCCTTGAGTGAAGAAAGAGAGAGTGAATGCGCATCTATGTGTGTGTGTGTGTGTGTGTGTACAGGAGCTTGTCTCTCTCTCTCTCTCTCTCTCTTTCGGCTTAATTAAAGTAAGCTCGTAGGCAGCAGCAGCATCTGCAGCAGATGCGCTGGCTTGTATTTACGTACTAGTATATACGCAAACAGCAGCAGCAGGAGCAGAGCAGCAGCAGTGCAGAAGCTGCAGAAGCAGAAGATCTCTCAAGCCGATCAGTGCGCGCGAACCCGTCGACGGGTCTCTTTTCTACTTCTCTCTCTCTCTTTCTCTTCTCTTTCGTATATATATACCAACATAAGCGCACGTTGAAACATTCTAAACGCGGCCCGTACGGAGGAGCTCTAGCTCTAAGGCCTTAACTGCGTTCGAGTTGTTGCTGCTGCTGCTGCTGCTGCAGTATATCGGAGGAATGTGTTCTAGGCTATATTGGCGCACCCTCGCACTCGAGAAAGAGTATATAGAAAAGTAATAGTAGTAGTTGAGGCGAAGAGGGGAAGCAACGATAAAGAAGAAGAAGAAGAAGAAGCTCGGAAGAAAAAGATTAGACATCTGGCGAGCCAAGTAGAGAGAGAGAGAGAGAGAGAGTAAGAAACACAGGCGCAGGCTATATTATATGAGCACCACAGGCAACAGCAGCAGCGGCAACGCAGTAGCAGTAAACGAAGAACTTTACAGATTTTTCGATTTCTGTTGTAAGGTATATATACAACACGCGCACGCGGCAAAATCTTATTGAACAGAGTGCACAGCTGGAAAATGAGCTACGCAATGCAATGTAGGCGGCTGCGCATCCCGTTTGAAAGTCGACCATGCCAATGAAAAAAAAGATGACCGTCGTTACGTACTCCATGATCCAAAATATTTCCTTTTTTTTCTCGAGCTTAATTACGAATATTAATACGCAGTACGTGCAAGCGTGTCATACGAAGGTAACAATTTTGATGTCGTACAATTCCGTTGAATTTTTTGTGTGAAGAATTAGCTATCTCGATTGATTATGGGAATCATGTAAGTTGGTCAAGCTCTCTCGAGCAACTTTTGTTCGATTTAACGATTTATCTCCAACGAGCTTCGTAGCGTGAAAAAGCGTGTTTGTTAAATCAGAAGCTTTTAGAGGGTAAAGATACTCTATTTTGCTAATTTTTCTCTAAGCTTACTACTCTAAAAACAATCGTGTGCTGAATAACGTAAAAAATTTCAGATCGATTTAATTTTAATAGACGTAAGTGATGAAACAAAACTTGGAGAGTTTAGAACGAGCGAAGAGCGCTGAAAAGTGATTGGAATTATAAAATTGACATCCACTTAAAGGGTTCAAAATTTTATTAGAATTATAATTAATAATATACTTTATTGTACTCAAAACATTTATTAATTGCTTCGAATTCATGAACATTGTTTTTACATCATTAGATATCATAGAAGGTTTTAGTAATATTATTGCAAATAAAAAGTTTTCAATTAGTCTTCCGAATAATTACATTAAATTTTATACGTTTACCAAGTTATAATGCGTAAGTGATTCACCGAATCAATATAGGCTTTGAGATTATGCCTCGTTGAGAATTTCTATCCGCATATATTACATTTTTAGTTAACACTATATCATGCGTTGATTTAGCATGCCTATTCAGATGACCCTTATATAAACATCTTTCCGCGTATATCGCAGAAATGTGCAATTTAATTATGTACCGCGTTAACGTGTTTTCTGAGATTAAATTTACAAACAAATGATTTTCCGCATAAAATGATTGCATGCGAAATCTTTTTATGAATCGAATTTATATGGATTTGAAGAATATCTTTTCCTTTGAATGTCTTGCCGCTAATATCACATGCATATATGTTTATTTAACACCATCGTGCGCCGGAATGATATGGATTTTGAGATAATTCTTACTTTTGAATTTCTTTCCACATACAACACATTCATGAGTGATTTTAGTATGCACTGCGTCAATGTGAGTTTTGAGATTACCTTTATATGAAAATATCTTTCCACAAATATCACATTCGTGAGTGACACCGTTGTGCGCCGAATCGATATGTTGTTTGAGATTGCTTTTCGTTAAAAATTTCTTTCTGCATGTATCACAAGTAGGTGCGACATCATTGTGCATTATATCGATGTGGGCTTTAAGAATACTCTTCTTTGTGAATTTCTTTTCGCACAAATCACATGCATGAGTGGTACCTAAGTGCACCGAATCGATGTGGATTCTGAGATTAGCCTTACTTGTAAATTTTTTTCCGCATATGTCACATGCACATTTGACACCATTATGTACTGTATTGATGTGAGTTTTGAGATAACTTTTTTGAGTGAATGACTTTCCGCACGTATTGCATGCATGTGTAACACCATCATGCCTTGATTTAACGTGTCTATTCAGAGTAAACTTGTGTTTAAACGTCTTTCCACATGTTTTGCATGTATGGACTGCACCACTATGCACCGTACTCATGTGGGTTTTGAGGTTATGTTCATTGGTTAACTTTTTTGTTATTCCCCTTTTTTTATTTTGATCGGCAAGTTCAAAGTCGAGATTCAAGTTCGGTTCTTCTACATTGTAACCAACAAATTCTTGTTTCACATCTTCTGCCGTTTCTATTTTAATTACATTTTTAGTTTCACAACCGTGAATATCCTTTACATTTCTCGAGTGATTAGGGGTATAATGGTCAATTTTCTTAATTTCTAATAAATCCTTGTTGGGCTTAACGTCTTCACATTCAACAACGATTTCCACTTCGTCATCAAATTTTATTTCATGTTTAATGTCACATTTTGGAAGTGTATCGACCGCCTGTGGAAAAATCAAAGCTTTTTTAGAATTTTCATTAAAAAACAACTTCAATATCAGTTAAATTTAATTATCAACACTTACCGAATTTTCTCGAGGAAATGGTAAGAGTCGAAAGTTTTCCAGATCAGGTTTCTCGTCAGTCATTACACCTTCATTTTCAATAAGTGGTACATCAGTAGCAGCAGGCTCCTCTTTTACTCTGAAATAACCTCAATCGGATCAAGTATTTTGTCATAATATCTTTATATCCCTTTCCAAAAATGAAAATTACCTGATAGCACCATTGAATAAACCACTGGATTCCATCTTTCGCCAAAAATTCGTTAATAATTTACCTCACTTTGATGATTTTACACATCAAACTACAAGATGCATATAGAAAGACTGATGAACAGTGATATGCTCTGCTCATCGGCAATTGGAAAAACTATGCGTCTGTGCGAATGTTGCGTATACGACTAGCTCAGCAGCACGGCTCTCCGACTATGTATCTCTGCAGCATGCACGGCAAAACATCAAGACGGGCGAACGCGAAGGTCGCGCGAAGTAAACAACCAAACGAGCACAGCTCTGAACTTTTCACCAGTTTTTTTCGTGTATTTAGCTTGAATTTCATTTTCAAAATTTTCGAAATTTATTCAATATATACGAAGTAGACATTATAGGATCGACGAAGAATTGACATTATGTATCTTCAGTTTCATAAATATAATCTATATTTTTCTTGAGAAATTAAAAAATGATTCGCTGGTGCGCAAAACGGTGCGCTATTTGTTATTCCGCAAAATCTCGTGTCGTCATCGTCGTGTACACAAACATACCTATAAGTTTTATGCACGAAGCACATGGCGTTTATATATAAACACGTATATACCTCGCGAGTCGTGCAGAATGAATGAATTGGCTCGAGCTCGTTCCATGTGCGCTTGGATATATAATACGCGCGATCTAAAATGCGACCACTCCATACACACACATATACACACACAGCCGTATTATACGGTGCATTGTATTAATAGCAGTTCCTTTATAAACACGCACACATCCTTGAACGATAAGATATGCGCGAAATTACACGTGTATATAATATAATATACACGTATAGCCGAGGAGGAGGCTATAGCGGTCAGCTCTGAACGCGCTGACTACATTATCTCTCGCTTTAACTCTGCGCGCGGTACCATAGTGATATATATCCGCGCGTTGATACCGAGCCGTGTGCACTTAATGCGTCTGGGCGACTGACTTATTAATGAAAACGGAACGTAAAAAAAAAACCAGAGTAGCCCGTGCAAGTAATCCTCGAACGACGACGTATAAAAATCGGTTGGAGGAAGCACGAAATAACGATCGCGCGCGACTTTGCGTGCCCGCTCGCGTATACGTGTGTTTGCGCACGATTATAATATGTAGAGAAGAAAACGTCTTGAAGAGGGTTGACTCGCTTCTTCTTCTTCCTCTTCTTCTTGAGCGGAAGGGCTCACCCGTGAGTACATATCGCTGGATATACATTATAAGTCGGAGTAGCTGAGCGCGGATTTTTCATGCGGCGCTACACATACAAAACGCCCACGTGAGCGCGTGTGCGAGATCGTCTCGTTGCGGCGCGGTTTCTGTCTCTCTCTCTCTCTCCGCAGAGCTATGCGTTTGCTTATACATTACATGCGGTGCGCGACATGTGTGTGCATATAATATAGGTACGTGTACCGTACGTGAATATTGCTGTTTGCAGACGCGTTATACTTACGTATATGGTCGATTCTCTGGGAAATCGGATGTCCGAGATAAACTTTTTTTTTTTTTGATGGCATGAAAAACTTATTATAGGATGATTTAATATTAATTATTATAGGATGATTTAATGCTGAACTGTTTACTCAAGTTTTCAAGTCAATGTTATTGAATGAAATTCAAATTAGTTCGCTCGACATCGTAACAGACACAGTAGTCGTCAACGAAATTCTGAGCAATTAAGAACATGGATCCCAATAGTACATTTGATTCTGCTATCAGGTAATTTTCAATTTTAAAATAAAAGATCCCCGAAATTCGTTACTCAAGTTATTCGTTCACTCAAGTTTTCAAGTCAATGTTATTGAATGAAATTCAAATTAGTTCGCTCGACATCGTAACAGACACAGTAGTCGTCAACGAAATTCTGAGCAATTAAGAACATGGATCCCAATAGTACATTTGATTCTGCTATCAGGTAATTTTCAATTTTAAAATAAAAGATCCCCGAAATACCTAATTCGATCGAATTTTATACTTTAGAATAAAAAAGGAACCCATCGATGCATCGCTCATTGAATATGATAACAATGTGATTGACAAGCCCCCCGATGTTGAAAATTTTCAATTCTCAAGACTTCAGCGAGTATATTCGGTAAGATTCATGATATGATAAAAATTTTTTATAAAATCTTTAACGTAACTTCATGTTTGTTACAGACGCTTCAAGAATGTAACGAAAATCATAATAATGGACTTGACGAAATCAAAGTTGAAATCGAATGTAGGGACGTGAAGCCCGAATTTAATTTATTAGCAGTTACAAAAATTGAGGATTGTACTCAACATCGATTGCAGCACACGATATATAGCGACGACTACACGAGTCAAAACATCATAAAAATAGAGACTGTGAGTAAAATAAAAGAAGAAATCAATTCAAATTTCGATCTTGAACTTAACGAGAGAAACAAAAAGACCGAAAAGCTCAACAATATCGATAGAGTCAAAACCAACATTGGTATGATGCATAGTGGAGCAGTCTATTTATGCAAAACATGCGGAAAGACGTTTAAACGCAAATTCAATCTGGATAGGCATGTTAAATCAACGCATGATGGGGTTACACTACATAAATGCATTACATGTGAAAATACGTTTAAGTACAAGTTCAATCTGGACAAGCATGTTAAATCAACGCACAATGTTGTTACATATGCATGTAATACATGCGGAAAGTCATTTTCACGAAAATTTAGTCTCAAAGTCCACATCGATTCAGTGCACAATTGTGTTACACATACATGCATTACGTGTGGAAAGATGTTTAAAAGCAAGTTCAATCTGGATAGGCATGTTAAATCAACGCATGATGGTGTTACATATGAATGCGATACGTGTGGAAAGAAGTTTACGCAAAAGGAAAATCTCAAAACTCACATCAATACGTTACATAATGGTGTCAAATTTGCATGTGACATATGCGGAAAAAAACTTAAAAATAAGAGTTATCTCAAAACTCACATCGATTCGGTGCATCTAGGTACCACTCATGCATGTGATTTGTGCGAAAAGAAATTCACACAGAAGCGTAATCTTAAAGCCCACATCGATATGATGCACAATGGTGTCGCACCTACTTGTGATATATGCAGGAAGAAATTTTCAACGAAAAGCAGTCTCAAACAACATATCGATTCGGTGCACTACGGTGTCACTCACGAATGTGATATTTGTGGAAAGATATTTTCACATAAAGGTAATCTCAAACATCACATAGATGCGGTGCATAATGGAATCATACACTCATGCGATAGATGTGATAAGACTTTTAAACGTAAGGACAAGCTGAAGATCCACATCGATTTGGTTCATCAATGTTCGACTCACACTTGTGGAGAATGCGGAAAAAATTTCGGACGAAAAAAAAATCTCTTTGCCCACATGGATATGGCACATCGCTCTCGTATAACTACCCGATAAATACATAAAATGTATGTTTAATTGTGTAAAAAATGACAATTTGAGATTTTGTATATTTGTTCAAAATTCCAAAAGTTTAACAATTTTCATTTATTACAAATGAGAATACGAATATGAATTTTTGCTATCTTATGTTATCTCAATGCTCAAAAAGCAACACTCAAATTTTGAAAAAAAAATTAATAAATTTTTGGTCATAAAAGAATCATACTACTTACTATAAATCAATCTAAACATCTGTATTTAAAAATTTTTAGGTTTCACGTTAAATTCTATTAATAAATTGTTCAATGACTATTTCCAGTAATATCCTTAGTTTCTGCTTACATTTGTCAGTATCTTATCCAATGTATCATAAACCTTTAGCAAGCTTCATCATTTTCGTTTATCTATACTCCCGGCACGATTGGCCACGTGGATTTTCGGCATTTGCCCGGTGGGCCTTTACTGAAGAATGTTAAAATTTTTAAGGTACCTGAGCCGCAAGAGAACCCTATAGTCTGACATTGACTCCCTAACTAAATGATTTGACTCTTTCATCTATTGAGCTTTTGCAACGACACTTGATGTTTTCTTTTTCAAGACAGAAGATTATGAACTGCTATCAGATAGGATGGAATTCATTAGTCAAAAATTGATCTACCCATGGAAGAGCATCCTGTCACATACCTGTATTGCGCCTACAAGTTCACTTCGCCAGTTTGTTCTAAATTGTTTCAAATAGTAGCCATAAGCATGAAAATTTTTGGATAAATGTCAGTTTTTTTTGCCTCTGAACAAGGGTGATAAACGATCTCGAAAATTCTATTAAAATTTATAAACATGTACGATACGAAAAACAACAAGTTTTTCATGCCAACGGAAGAAAAAAATTTGATCGATCATTCGATTTCACAGAGAATCGGCCATATACCCACGTATACGAGCATAATATATAAGTTTTACCGTACATATATAGCTACGGTGGCAGATAGGAATAATGCATGTAATGCCTCAAAAGAAGAAGAAGAAGAAAAAGAAAGAGAAAAAATACGCTGCATCTTCGCGAGTAGGCAAACTACGCGACCATATCGGTCATCACTGCTGCTGCTGTACACTGCAGCAGCAACCACCACCGCCGCCACCAAGCGCGCGAGCTTCCGCATTATATCGCGGCAAAAAGAGGATGAAAAGGTAAAATAAGCGCGCGCGCGCGCGTGCGGCCCTCGCCTGTGTGACAGCTCGCTGAATATGCGGCTCGAGCTTTCAGTGATATGCGCGCTATGTGTGTGTCGTTGTGATGCATTCGCTTGCATCTATTTATGACGTATGTATATAAAGACCAGTCGCGCTGTGTATTTATATAATTTTTTTCCCCTCCTATTTTGCCCCGGTCTTGTAAATGGACTCCTTTTCTTCTGTCTTTTTTTTCTCGTTCTTTTTTTCTTCGTTGCTGTACATTTACGGGTAACAATGCGCCTAGTTTACGTAAAGCGCCGCGCGCGTCTCTCGCGGATAGAGCACCGAATGCGCGCAGCAGCTTCGATACAATTACTCGCGATGGTGTGCATAAATGAATGCGCATACGCAGTTTACGGACGTTTCGCTGCGCGGCACGGCAAGTATATTTACAAAATAAGCAGCGCCACAAGTTTACATTATAATAATATCGCACAATGCGTGCACAAAACGCGACGATGTGCAGCGGCGAATCAATTATGTCTCGATTGCGGAGAGTTGCTCAATTATATATTTATAAAATTTATGGCGCGAAATTCGCGCGCGCGTAAAATGTAATATCATTGCGTAAATCGATTTTCTCCAAAATGCGTGGAAAATCTCTCTCGACGCCGATGAATACTTTATAAAATCTTTCGCACGACGCGCGCATCCACGTATACGTACGTGCGTTATCTGAAAACGTTATAATGCGCGAAACGCATATAACGTAGCGCTATATACACGAAATCGTCGAAGGTATACAATTTATGAATTTTTAATGAAGCGCTATGTGCACAGAGCTTACGCGGGCTTGCCTCGGATTCGCAAGCCATGTATACCTACGCACGTATATACCCACGCGTATGCTTTATACATGTGTTGATAAAATAAACAAAACTCTTCAGGGAGAAAGAGAGAGAGGGATAGATCTAGAGGGAAAGAGAAACAAGTTTCGGTGCAAATATACGTAACGTACGGCGTTGGCAATATTTATTTACAATTATTCGCGCGCAAAATCGAGTTACTAAGCATTTAATTACGAGTACGAGCAAATATGTACTCCGCGCGTGACGCGTGTGTAGTATGGAGCACATCATTGTATACGATGCAACGACTGTGCGTGAGCGTATAACTTATATGCACGTTCATATGTGCGTGCGAGGGTGTGTGTGTGTGTGTGTATAGTCAAGACTTTGGAGAGATTTTCCGATCCGGATTGGAAAATAAAAGAAGAAAAAAAAGTTTATTTTTTTCAAAGACGCACAAAGTTATAATTCAACGGCCGATACATAACATAGGTATCGGGAAACGATCGGCTGCGAACTTGGGGACTTGTCTCTAGCGAAGCATGCATCGACTAACGTCTTGTACACAGACAGACGCGATCTTGTACTCGCGCACTAAACGTATATATTATGTAAAGCACACGAGCTTACAACAAGTGTGACACGTGGTCCCATGTGTGTGTGTACGCGTTTACACATATACGAGCTTATATACTTGTTGCAAGCTCTCGCACATAACTGCCTTTGCCGCGACGAACTTTGCACGTGTATTGGCACTCGAGCGCACGCTAAACACACACACACACACACACACACACACACACAAGACAGAGTCACCTAAGCAGACACACATACATGCGTGCGCGCAGCGAAGTTTCGTTAATGTTAAACAGAATAACCGTAAATATTTAAGTTTGGTAAAATTGTCGGTACGTGCGTATAGCGCAGGTGGCTCTAAAGGTGTGTACGTGTGTATACATAGGTGCAGTGCAGAAGAGGAGAAAAAGGTTTTCCATCGGTCGAGTTTCACGCATTTGTGTAACGGAGAGACAGGGAGTGAGAAAGAATGAGAGTCAAATAGAGCAGGTTCCGGTTGAAAAAGAGAGAGAGACGTAAATCAACGGTTGGTCTCTCTGGCTCGCGCGCACACACCTCGCACCGAGAGCTCCATGAAGGGATCTAGCTGTAATACACATGTACTGTATAAAGCTCTGCACTTTTTCCACGGCAATTCGTAGCAGCCGCAGCAGCAGCAGCAGCGCTTTAAAGAAAAAGCATTGGGCTATACACGGACTAGACGCGCCAGGCATAAATCGCGCGTCCGTCAACAAATCTTCCGGATATATGTATGTTATGCTATGCGCTTGGGTCAACAACTACGGCGCAAGAGCTAACTCGGAATAGTGAAGTGAAGTGTGCAAAAAGTGAGAGAGAGAGACGTTATGCGCGGCGCGCGTAGTAATGTGGAGTCGGTGCACGCGCGCGCCCAAGATCCTTTCGAGTGCAGGACGTATTACACATATAGAAACGAAGAAAAAAAGCTCCGAGTTCGTCCGTGCGCGGTGTCTTATAATACGCGCGCGGGTCCTTATGTATACGAATGTATTGTAGCTCCGACTTATTTGTACAGTTGTTGTTGTTGTTGTTGTTGTTGTTACATTTGTAACGCAGCAGCAGCAGCAGCATCCCTAATCCTTTTTGTTATCTTGACAGTTTTAGCCTTTTTACCTCTCGTCTTTTTCCCGAAGAAAACGCGAGAAATCCGCTCTTCTTCCTGTCTCTCTCTCTCTCTCGTTCGTGTTACATAGACATTCGTACGCCCACACGTGTGCGTTCGCGCGGGCGCACTCAATGGAGCAAAGTAAAGCGAGGCAACGAGCTGCGCGCTGCAAAGAATAGAAAGAAAAGAAGTCGCGAGAGAAGAGTCGAAGTGCCTCGCGCGCACAACTGCACAAACACAACAGGGCAGTACGTCGGTTTTGCTCGCGCGAGTCGAGTAGATTTCCTGGGCGCGCGCGCGCGCGAGAAGAGAATGAGAGCGAGAGCTGTGCGAAACAGTAGTATATATAGTAATAGTGGCTGCTGCTGCTCTCTTGTACAGCAACAGCACATAACTCCGCGGCGGAAAACAGGATCGCGCGCGCCGCTGTCAGCTTCTTATATACGCGGACGTGTTGCAGCTAAAGAAACGCGTGCAGCAAATTTTGCCTGAGCGTAGTCTAGAAGATCTCTTCCTCTACGTCTATATGTATGTGTGTGTGTGTGTAGATCGTACACACGTTGGGGTATCGCGTGAGTAAGTGCGCTATGCATATATATGTGGCACGCGGGCTATATATGACACGAGCTCGTCGTCGTCGTCGTCGTCGTCGTCGTCGCAATAGCCAGAGGCGATCCTCGACTCGAGCTCTGCGGCGCGCACAGACGCACACACACACAGCTCGTCCCGGTAATAATGGCCTCCTATTCGTTTAGAAGAGCTGTATATATAACACCAGAGAGACGGACAGAGAGAGAGAGAGAAGCTCTTCTCCTTGTAAATCTAATCGAGCTCGCCAATAGCTTTCTCGCACAGAGAAGCAGAGAGAGAGAGAGAGAGACTCCCGACATAGAGACACTTACTTACAAGCAACTCGAGGTTTATGTATACGTACACACGCAGAACTGATAGAAACGCAAACGCAAACGCAGCAGCAGCAGCGACCAACGAGCCACAGTCCGGAGTAATAAATTTACCCGCGAGCGCACTTCTTCTCAGCTGTACTTTACATACATATACCTATATGTATATTTGTACTCTACGGGCAAGACGCACCGCTGCGGCGGCGTCGTCGGCGGCGGCTTGTTCAAGGCTTACGCGTACTCGTCGTTATAATATGCGCTCAAGGTCCTGCAGCCGCCTATAATGTATAAGTATATGTATAAGGAACCTTTTTTCCGATCCCACGAGTGTGCACGCGAGTGCCGGGCGGCGACGACGACGACGACGACAATCATTTGCGTCATCGCGCCGTGGCGTAGAGTAGCTGCCGATCCGCTTTTTGCACAGGTATATCGTCGTTGCTGCGTACCCCCGCTGATATAATTGACTTTTCGACGCGACCACCCCTTTTTTCTTCTTCTTCTTTTTCTTCTACTTGGTTCATTTGTATAAGCGCTGATACTTATTCCTGTATACCATGCACGCGACCCGTAATATACAAAATCGTTCCAATACCGATCACGCGTACGCGCG